ACATTTCACTTAGTATAATATATATTATCAGTTTTAGTAATGTGTGGAAACAAATTGATATAAAGTTGAGTAGCTTCACAATGCTAGAAATTTAGGAAGAAGCAATGGGTTTTTGATCTGATCAAACAATATGGAGCCTGCAAACTTGCTTTTCTAGTTATTTTCTTCATCTTTATACAAAGTACATTAAAATTTAGAGGGAATGTTAACTAAAAGTTCTCCATTTTACTAGCCTGTTGTCATATCTATATTACACTTATTAAAAGAAAATTGATGTAGGAGTGCCCAGCCTTCTGTGAGTATTTCTGATCTTAGGCAGAACTATATGAGAAATCAAGCAGAAAAGCTAGCAAACAGCATTCCTTAAGCATCTATGCTTAAGATTTTTATATAATTAGGTTCAAATGCCAGTGAAGGAATGGGCTTGTTAGCTGGTATAGGAGGTCCTTTTGTCTTTGTGTTGCTTTCATTGGTTAATAAAGAAATTGCTTTGGACCTGTTGATAGGGCAGAACTTAGGTAGGAGGGGAGACTTAACTAAATGCTGGAAGAAAGAAGGGCATAGAAGAGAATTGCCATGGACCCACCTCAGGAGATAGACATGCTGAGACTTTGCTGGTAGGCCACCACCTCTTGATGATACACAGATCAATAGAAATGGGTTAAACTAATATGTAAAAGTTAGTCAATAAGAAATTAGAAAAAAATAAAAGAAATTAAAAAAAAGAAATTAGAGCGTATGGGTCAAGCAGTGATTTAATTAGATCAGTTTCTGTGTGGTTATTTTGGGGCTCTTCAAGCCAGGTTTGCCAGGATGAATGAGCAGAATCTCCTCCTACAAGTGGTGCTCCAACATGGTCTACTATACCTATGTAAAACTTGAGAGGCCTTAAAAAGGAATTGTGTGTGTGTGTGTGTGTGTGTGCATGTGTGTGTGTGTGTGCGTGTGTGTGTGAGAGTGTGTTGTTTAACACAGCTTGGTGTTTGCTAGAGGTGTGCCACAGTTCTTTTGAGAGATATTTTTTTTATCTCAGCAGCAGCAAGCAGCAGAAGAAAAACATGACATTTTTTGAAAAGCAAGCTTTATGGGCAAGGCATATGTATTAATCAATATATTATATTATATATATAATGTACATATGTATAAAAAATCCCTCTTTTTAACCTACTTATACTTTGAATATATATTATAGGTTAAAGGTTAAATTTTTGTGGGATTCATGATTGTGCAAATACATGGGACTGATTCGCAATGATTCTCTTTAGATCTTTTCTTCCTGTTTCTTCATTTTGACCTAACATAATGTGTTAACTTTTCTTAATCTTAGTATAATTTTTTTTTTTTACTTTCCCGTAGAAAACTGTTTGTTTTTCAGTGAGAAATAGAAGAGGTCGATAAGATAACATAAAGGGTTTACTGGAAGGACAATGGAAGAATAAAGGAATAAAGGAAGGAGCCATAATCAGGGAATATTATGTGGGAAAAATATTTTTAATGAAGGGAAAAAATAAACCAGTACTTTGTTTTAGTTTTATAAAATTTAATTCTAAAAATTATTTTAATTTCAATTAGGTGCATGTGTGATTTTTGAGGTGTGTTATTATGTGCACATCTGAATATATGTGTTCTTGGAATTCAGAAGAGGTTAACTCTTTCATTAGAGCTATTGTTATAGGAAGGTGTGAACTAAGTTGTGGGGAATGGATAGTGAACTCATTTCCTGAGAAAAAGCACACATGAATTTAAATGTGGAGACACATTTTATCTTCCTCAATATCCATTATATCTATTTATCATACATTTCTCTCCATTCTTTTTTTCTTTTTATTTATTTATTTAAAAAATTTTTTTAATATAATTTTTTATTGAAAAAAAAATTCCGCCTCCTCNTAAAAAAAAAGAAGTTATAGCTAATGGACCAAGCAGTAATTGAATTAATACAGTTTCTGTCTTGTTATTTCAGGGTTAAGCTTACTGGGTGGCCACGAAGAACAGGTAGGACTCCTCCTACAGTTAGCAATTTGAGACTAAACAAATATCATAACCTTCTTTTTTCTATGTTGTTATTTATGCTTCCAGTAGTGGATGTATTCCAGATTATATTTGGGATTTCTAAGATCAATTGAGTTGGGTTAATTTGTGTCTTTCCAACTTAAGATCCAGATAAAAGATGTATTGCTTCCCAGTTTAAAAGATCTCAAATAAAGGCATTCATTTCTATTTTTTTCCTATTTTTATTTATTTATTCATTTTGGCTAGTTTTTAGAGACAAGGTTTCTTTTAATAGCTCTGGCTGTTCTATAACTTGTCCTTTAGGACAGGCTTTGCTTAACTCAGATATCCATCTCTTTCTGTCTCTTGATTGCTGGGATTGAAGTTGTGAATAACCCACCACTTCCAGGTATAAGGCGTATCTTCTTATGTCAAGTATCTGAATAGCAAAGTGATCTTCCTACTTCAAATTAAACCAAAATCCATCACAAGTGTGTCTTCCAGTTTGTGGTTTTAGTAAATTATAGATGTAGTTTGGTGAGTAAATCTTTTTTTTTTTTTTTTTTTTAACAGGGCTGGACAAATGGCTCAGCTGTCCTCAACAATTGCTGCTAATAAACAGGGCTCAAGTTTGAATTCTAGTATTCAATATGTGTGGTACTAAGCGGTCTCTAGTCCCCAGAGAGCCAAATTATTGTTCTGCCATCTATGTACAGCATGCGTCCCAGTGTTGCAAGCTATACATGCGGCCAAAGCACCCATACCCTCATAAAAAATACAGAAAAAAATTAGGTTGTATTTGATAAGGTATCTAAATGGATCATGAAAATATTATGTAAACATATGTATAGAAAAGTTAGCAATTTAGTATCGGTTTTAAAAAGACTTAAGCCAAATTATATAATTAAAATTAATGATTTGATATGTTTAATTTACTCATCCCTTACAATTAGCATTATCTTTCAGTATCTCTCTCAGAAGTTCAGTAGAAAAGAGGAAATTCACTGTGTAGGAATCATAGCATTACCAAGAGAATATTGCTCACTTTTCTGTAAATAATATCAAATGGTGGTAACAACAAGCTTTATACTTATATTAAAACCAGAGGAATATACTTTAATGATGAAAATTTACTGTATAAATGTCAGAAATCCTGAATAAATTAATCAAATGTCATATCAAATGTGAAAAGAAGAAACATTGGGTAGAAATAGGTTTTCTACTCTGACTGTATATTTTATTTCACTAAGTTACAAAGAAGCAAAAATGGACAAATTGAAAGTATTACTGCAGAGTAATGGAAATCAGTACAGTGGGGACAGACCCACCTGTCTATTTCCTGTGGACCCCTCTATCATTTCTCCATATAAAAGGAGCTGTTGATCATGTGGAAAATATGTGCTAAACTTTCCTATCTTCACTTTAATTCTAAGACCATATGGAAAATTCCAAATCTGGAAAACGTCATATTCATCCTGAAATTTTTCTTTCTGGTTCATATTCACACTGCCCTTAACAGGATTAGTTAAGTGGGTCTTCCTCAGAAAGGAGTGCAGGCTAATGACAAATAACTTTCTAGAGTGCATGTGCCCTCTGTGAAGTTAGAAAACATATTCGGATTTTATCTTGAACTAAACTTAGGTGAAGGTTCCCGGCATGGGGGGGGGAGGGATCAAAAAGAAATCAAATGGATTAATAAAATTATCATAATATTCCTAGAATTTAATTCTCTCAGACGAAACTGCCAAGGACAAACACAAACATGATGCAGACACCAAACATAAATATGGAATATGTTCAGAGAGAGAGAGAGCAACTGATATCCTTACAGAGATACATGCATGATACAGCCACATAATATTTACACACACATACATATGCAAGTCAAAACACAATATGAAGATACAGACACACAGGCAGTTTAATTCAATCAAACAGACTTGAAAACTTGAAAAACGCCTGCACAGTTGCAGACTAACCTCTTGATAGAGGTTTTGTTCTGCAACCATTCAGTCCCAACAAAACACACAGAGTTATACCTTAATCATAAATTGGTTCAGCTAATATCTCAGGCTTCTTATTGACTTTTTCCTTACATCTCAGATTAACCCATTATTTTTGTTTATGTTAGCCTTGTGGCTTGGTACCTTTTTCAGCAAGTCATTCTCATCTTGTTTCCTCTATATCTGGGTGAGGACTGCAGACTGGGCATTTCAGCTATCCAGAATTCTCCTGTTCTCTTTGCCCAACCTCTCCTTCTGGCCTGGTTGCCCCACCTGTACTTCCTGCCTGGCTGTTGGCCAATCAGTGTTTTTTTTTTTTATACAAATGGCAGGGTACATATCATAGTCCCACAGCACTTCTCCTCCCCCATTTTTTCAAAACAACTCTGAATTGAATCCTTTTTAAAAAGCTTTTCTCTTGAACATTATCCATAAGAACTTGTAACCAACTTTCCAAAACAAAGTCAAACATTCATAATCCATTTTTTGGGAATGTGGATATAGTTTTTCAGGCTAATTTCTGCTGTTTGGGGCACTGAAAAACTTATGGGGACCTAAAGAAAGAGAGGGAGGGGACTAGGAGGAGGGGAGGGAGTGGGAATTTGGATTGGTATTTTTAAGTAATAAAAAAGGAAAAAAAAAACAATTGCAACAAGCTGTGTAAGTGAGCAAAGATAGTTCTGTGAAAGTCCATATTGTTTCCTTTTTCTTAACTGTCTACAAAGATAAAAATGCTTCCAAAAAGAAGCTTAATAAAATGCATGAGATCATTTAAAAAAAGAACTTAGAAAGTGATTCTTTTCCATTTCCTTTCTTTCTTTCTTTCTTTCTTTCTTTCTTTCTTTCTTTCTTTCTTTCTTTCTTTCTTTCTTTCCTTCCTTCCTTCCTTCCTTCCTTCCTNATCCTAGATTGGGAGAAACCGATCCGGAGGGGAGGGGATCCTCAGGAAGAGAGAAACAGAAGGCAAAGGGCGAAAGAGAGAGGAAAGCGCCTCATACACACAGGGACACTGAAAGGTCTTTATTGCCCACCAGTCACCAGTATTCTCCCAACCGCAAGCAGGCCCTTCTACCCCACTCTCGGGACCCACGAGATGCAGCCACACTGCAGCTCTCTCCTCCCAGGGGATCGAGGTGCTTCTGGAGCGTATGATGTAGCGGAAGGCCCTCACAGGGACTAAGCAGCATTTCTGTGGAGGAGGGCACACATGAGGGAGGGTTACCCCTGAAGACTAGGGTGGGATTAAAGGGGCTCTTAGGTGTGGATGGTGCCGGTGGCAAAGAGCACAATGAGGATGATGATGACAAGAACAATCACACAGATGATGACAATCATCTTCACATTCTTCCACCAGAACTTCCGGGCCACCTTCTGCGATGTTGTCTTGAAGTGTTCAGACGTGGCTTCCAAGTCCTCTGTCTTGTTTCGGAGATGGTCCAAGTTTTCCCCTCGGGCCAAGATTCTTTCCACATTCTGGGTCATGATATTCTTGACTCCCTCCACCTCACTCTTCAGGTTTCTAACTCGGTCATTTCCGGCACCCCCACTGACGTCCTCCATGTCTCGGAGCACTTGGGCCTCACAGTCTCGCCTAGTCTGTTTCCACTTAGCACAGCCACAGCTTCACTTCCTCTCTTTTCCATTTTCTAATGAATGAATAAGCTTCTCACAAAGAGCATGTGTCATAGTACACACAGAATTGTATTAGCATAACTGTTATCTGTAAAAGCCATTTCAGAAGTCTATACTGTTAGCCATTCCATTGAAAATTTGGATGAGCAGTACTGTGTCTTACCCTTAGAAGTTGAGATTTCACAGTTGAATTTTATCCACTCTAGGTTTGCAAAGTAGTCATCTGAGTATTTGAGGGAATTCAATATCTAGAAAAAGTTTTTAAAATTAGAAATCTCAGCATTGTGTTGTTTAAAATCTAGAGTCAAGTGCACAGTCACACTTGTAGGGACAGCCCCCTGTGAGGTGGTGACCCATATTCTCTGTATACCTAGTGATTCTCACATCCTAAAACTCATAGCTAGAGTACTGCCTGTGTCAAAATAAATGATCACAACATTTGTGGAGCATGTAAATGTCATGTTTTGGTTATAATACACTTCAGCTCTTGATGCTTATCTGGTATAATGTTCTCAAAGGTGAAGCAGAGTATAAAGCTAAGAAATGGGCTGGATCCAGCCATCAAAGCCACAGGTTTAATCCTAGCCATATTGTTTAGCAAATTAAAGACTCATGTGGTCAGAAAAGGAGAGATACAGTAAAGATAGTTTCAGAAAGAAAAAGCCTCTAAACAGTTTACAGTGTGTTTAAAAATATTATGTAGACTTTAGAGAGAAAGGAAAAAAAGGTTAAAGTACTTAAAATACAAAAGAAGAAAGACAGTGGTTGGGTGTGGTGGCACACACCTTGAATTCCAACACTTGGGAGTCAGAGGCAGACAGACCTCTGTGAATTCAAAGTGTGTTGGCACACACTTTTAACCCTAGCACTTGGGAGGCAGGGGTGGGCAGATCTCTGTGAGTCCAAAGACAGCCTGGTCTACAAAATGAGTTCCAGGACAAAGATACACAGAAAAACCCTGTCTCAAAGCCAAAAATTAAAAAAATAAAAATAAAAAAGTAGAGGTTAAAATAAAGCCATGTAAATATGAGAAATACACAGAAAGTCTGGACACTGTATGTTTTTATGTACTCTCTAAATTGTTTGAATGCTGAGGAAGGAGCAACAGCTGCCAAAAGATGTTTGTTTATAAATGATGCTGAATTATTCCAAGATAGGTATTTTGAAAATACCTCGATACCAAAATTGAAGTAAAAAGGTATGCTATTTTGAAGAAGAGGTTCTATTTTTGTTTCCACACGAAATGAGAGGCTGTGGATTATTCTGAGTTATGAAAATCAGTTTTGATCAAGGAAGACCCATGAGAAATCTCCGGTAGGAGCAGATGGCCCAGATGTCTGAGTTCTACAACTAGAACAGATTCAAGACTGCTGCTTGAGATAATCAAGCCTCACAGTATACTCCAGTCATAACTTGATCATAATTCTAAATTTCTTTAGGTCTCCATAAAATTATCAGCTCCCCCAATCAGCAGAGAGTAGCCTGGAAAAGTATGTCCACATTTCCAACAAATAGACTATGGATACTGTCCTTTGTTTAGAATGTTGGTTACAAGTTGTTATAGATAATGGTCAGAAGAAAAGCTAAACAAAGTATATTAGATACAGAGTTCTTGATTTTTTCTTTTAAAGGGGAAAGTGATGTGGGACAATGGTCTGTATTCCATCACTTATATTTTAAATAGATGCTGATTGGCCAGTAGCCAGGCAGGAAGTATAAGTAGGGTGACCAGACGGGAAGTAGATGTGGGGCAATGAGAATTCTGAGAAGAAGGAAGTACAGTCTACAGTTGTGATACAGCCATAGAAGAAGCATAATCCCTTGCCAAATAAGGTAACCAGTCACATGCCTAACATAGACAAGTATAATGGGTTAATATAAGTTATAAGATATAATAAGTCTGAGCTACTAGGCCAATCAGCATTTATTGAAAATATATGTGACAGGATACAGACCATTGTCTCACAGCAATTGGGTGGTATATGCCTTTAATCATGGTGGTACACACCTTTCATCCCAGCCCTAGGGAAGACTATAAAATGTGAAAAAACAGCTCTCATCACAAATTCTTATTCTGAGATTCCAGGAGGCAGGATCACCATTTCTGACTGAGGTCAAGGTAAGAAACCAGTGGCTGAATGTTTTGCTTTTCTGATCTTCAGGTTGAACCCCAAATTATTACCCTGAGTTTTTTTTTAATATTTATTTATTTATGTATACAATATTCTGTCTGTGTGTATGTCTGCGGGCCAGAAGAGGACACCAGACCTCATTACAGATGGTTGTGAGCCACCATGTGGTTGCTGGGAATTGAACTCAGGACCTTTGGAAGAGCAGGCAATGCTCTTAATCACTGAGCCATATCTCCAGCCCTTACCCTGAGTTTTTATCCAACTTTTGGAGCACAAATTTATGAAAAAAATATTTGCCTAAGGCTTTCTTGCCTCCATCCCAAGCCAGAGCAGGGATTGGAATTCTATTTCTAGGAATTGGAACATAAACCTAGCCACCTGGGTTCAGGAAAAAAAAAAAAAAACTAGTATTCTCAGCTCCCATCTTATCTGACTTAGCTTCTATGTAATGATGGAAAATACACAGAGAATCTGGAATCAGTATGTTATTATGTAGTCTTTGAATTGAGAAAGAGGCAACAGCTGCTAAAAAAACATTTGATTATAAACTGCTGGATTAATCCAACCTATATATTTTAAAAATGCCTTGATTTTAAAATTTAAGTCAAATGATGTGCTACTTTATTGTTTTATTATTTTTTCTCATTTCTTTTTTCCCCTTCATCTGGTGATGGATGAGATAAGAGACAGAGACCCACATTGACTGAGCTCCCAAGGTCCAAATGAGGAACAGAAGGAGGGAGAATATGAGCAAGGAAGTCAGGACCATGAGGGGTGTGCCCACCCACTGAGATGGTGGGGCTGATCTATTAGGAGCTCACCAAGGTCAGCTGGACTAGGACTGATGGAGCATTGGATCAAACCGGAATCTCTGAACGTGGCGGACAATGAGGGCTGACTGAAAAGCCAAGGACAATGGCACTGGGTTTTGATCCTACTGCATGTACCGGCTTTGTGGGAGCCTAGCCTGTTTGGATGCGCACCTTCCTAGACCTGGATGGAGGGGGGAGGACCTTGGACTTCCCACAGGGCAGGGAACCATGACTGCTCTTTGGACTGGAGAGGGAGAGGAAGAGGGATGGGGGAGTGGGAGGGAAATGGGAGGTGGGGAGGAGGTGGAATTTTTAATAAAAAAAAGTGATGTGCTACTTTGAAGAAGAGGTTTTGCTTTTGCTTCCAAAAAAGTGAAAGGCTGTGTATTCATTCTGCATTAAGAAAAATAAGGTTTGATGAAAATGGCTTAACTTCAAAATTTAAGTCAAAACATATGTTACTTTGGAGAAGAGCTTTTGTTTTTCTTTCTATAGGAAATGAGAGTCTGTGGATTCAATGTTGGATAAAAAGTTAAGGTTTAATCAGCCATGGATTTATTCTTGGATTAAGATAAATATGGTTTGATCGAAAAAAGACCCTCTGAAAAATCTCCTGTGGGAACACATGAACCAGATAATCCAACATTTCAGAGTACATTTGTTGCAGTTTCCTCTGAGTTTAACATCCAGAACATCTTCACAACTGCTGGTTGATCCATCCTCACAGCATACTCCAGTAAGGACTTGACCATAATCATAATTTTTCTTTGGGTTCCCCAAAGATTATCAGTGCCCCTAATCATCTGTAAGTAGCCTATAAAACCATAGGATCTTTAGGCTTTTATGTTTTTCATTGAGAATTCCGGTCTGACTTTATATGTTACTTGATTTTTTTCCTTTGCAGCTTTTAATATTCTTTCTTTGTTTGGTATGTTTTTTTGCTTTGATTATTACATGACAAAAGTACTTTTTATGTTGAGTCTATTGGTGTTCTGCAAATTTCTTGTACCTGCATAGGAATATTTTACTTCAGGTTGGGAAAGTTTTCTTCTTTGATTTTGTTTAATATAGTGTCTGTGCCTTTGAGCTGGCACTCTCAATCTTCTATTTCTATTATTGTTATGCTTGATCTTTTCATGGTGTTCCATATTTCCTGGATGCTTTGTATTAAGAATTTACTGAATTTAATGTTTTCTTTGACCATTGATTCTATTTTCTCTAATATATTTTCAACACCTGAGATTATCTCTTCTATCTCATGTATTCTGTTGGTTAAGCTTGCTTCTGTTGTTTCTGTTTATTTACCCAAATTTTCCATATCCAGAATTCCCTCTATTTGTGTTCTCTTTATTGCCCGTATTTCAGTCTTCAAGTCTTGAATTGTTTGAGCTGCTTGTTTCTAGTTTGTCTTCTTCTTGGTTTTCTTATTTTTGGGTGTGTGATTTATTGATTTTTTTGTTTGTATTTTCCTCCATTTTTAAGGGATTTTTTCATTTCCCATTTAAAGTTTAAAAGAGTTCTTTCCTTCACATATCTCCCCGCAAGCCTCTGAAAATAGTATGGAAGATTATGTACAGAGTATAAAATCCAAGGTAGATGGAGGACACCAAAGAAAAAAGCCTTTAAACACAAAAGAAATCACAGAACCAGAGGCAACAGGCACAGTTCTTACCTGTGTGTTTCCCAGTTGGGGTCCCAGACCTGAAAGTAGAAGTAAACAGAAGTTTCATCCCTAATCCTGAAGCAATATCCAATTTATAATCACTGACTAATGAAAATTGCCTTTCCTCCAAAGAGTCTCAGTAGGGAAATTTGCATTCCTAGCAGTAGATATGAACAGATAATTCACTAAGCCTTATTTACAGACGTCCTTGTCTTATAAATGTTGTGTCAGAATTTCCCCTTCTCTCTAATTGTTTGGCTTGTCATATCATATTTATTATGCAATACATGCACACACACATATATATAATATACATATATATATAACAATTCCCACATTTTAACATATATATATATACTTTGCATATAAGTTTCAGGTTAATTTTTT